TTCATCAAGTTTAAGAGGCGATTCCAAATCATCTCTGCTGTCTTTAGCTGATAGCGTGGCAAATTAGCACGTGCCACATGTCAGATCGAAATGTACACTTAGGTACGTTTCAAAAAAAATCCCAACGAGCGCCATCACTTTATGTGCAATACAAAGGGCCCCTGGGAATTCGGTTTGGCCTTCATCTGCCATCTGCGAGTTTGACTCCCGCCAACCTGCTTTTACGTCGGAATAGATACTCGAGAATAGGCAGAGTTGACACGAAAATTGCAAGCGAAGACGACAAAACCTCGACATCAGTAATTAGAGCCTGAGCAAATTCTAAGAAGGACGAGTAATAGAAAATCAAATCACGCTACTCACCAGTAGTCAGAACCAATAGAAAAAGTATACACTGGTTGCCGTTGTTCCACAGGAGAAATCGACACCCACCCTATCGGGCCAGGAAGACTTTAGAGCTGCAGGGAGTACATGTGGCTTATTTCAGGTCTACTTCTTAGGCCAGACAAGAAAGTCCATCCGGGGAGCGTGGGATAGACACGCGTCCGTCATTGGACAACTACCGTATAAACTACCACCAGGCTGCACTTCGAAAGCATGGGAGTTTATACGCTCGATTTGTCATCAGTTTACTTCTTTTTCTTTCTTTATTCCCGTTGGTATGCAATTATTTAACGAGATTTTGACCAGTTCAAACAATGAACTACCGGCAAATGTTCGGAGTTTGCTACCTTTGGACCTTGCGTGCTAATTACTTTATTGGATGTTTACACCAAGCGTATAGACGGATGCTGAAAATCTCAGAGGCAGGAGCCCTTCTATCTTTGGTTGCGTGAAAGGATCTGACACGTAACCTTGCTAGAAAATTACTCGCACTCGGGATCGAATTCATCAGCTGGTCCCCGGCCTAGTGATCCGTAGGTCTCGTCTGTGATCTCTTTGTGCCCACCTAATGTGTTTCATGGTTCCTGTGGTTTATTTTCCCCTGGTGGAATCACACTTGTGGATCTTTATGACTCAGCTTGTCCGGTGGTGTGAATTCTCTGCATCAGAAAAAAACCTGTTAGTCTCATAATTTCCTTTGCGAGATTGTTGGTATTCTCGTTTCCCCCTGTTTTTAACAGCGGACGCAACGCAATCTGGTTTGACGAGGCCCTCAAGTATGGAAGAAGTGAACCAACGGACACTTTCGATAATCCCATTCTTAGTGGCCGCCTGGCTGAATTTCAGTTTACTTCTCTGTCCCACTTCGACAATACTTCCACGGATCAAGAAAATGACAATCCGCGTGATGGTCTCGATACCAACGTCGTATCGCCGAGTCATTCTGTTGCATCAGCTGATGTAGACAGTATTCCATTCCTCATCGACTGCCTGGAGCTTTGGGAACTCGTTAGCTAGCCTGGATTTGACACGAGTTAGCTACGCAAGGCTCTCACTCTTAACTGTGCTGGTTCGGCCGTTCGCAGTTTGGGAATCAACGCTCATCAGGTTTATTTTGTTTGAGGAGTCGTGTTCTTCGCTGTCACCCTCATCCTCTGTCGTCTTTCTGCTATATAATGAATCACTTCACTTGCGTTTTGAATGTTTTTGTCCTATTCTCTGTCTCCTCTTCTCTGGGATCGGGTTCGGTGCGTATGCATACACTCGTAATCGGATCCACGGCGTCTGTGTGCCATACTCACGCTTTTCGTTTCGTTATTCTACAGCTGTGTGGCGCATCACATTCCTCGGTGGTTATTGAATCACGAGTGACCTGTTCCTTCGGATTACCACTGTCAAGCGGTCCACAAATCTGTACCACGCCAGCTGGCTTGTGATATTCATCTCGCCGTTTGTTACTTTTCAGTGTGCCTTGCAACCTGTGCACAAAGTCATACAATTTGCC